TTTTAAGGCCATCAATTCGCTAGCTTATTTATTTTGGATCACCCTAATATACTTATATGTATATACAAGAAATAAGAATAAGTGACAAATTACCCGGAAAACACCCCCCAAAAAAAAAAGTCGGGATCCGCAGCTGGGCCTGTGTTATTTTTGATTATGTACTTGGGTGTGAAATAACACATTTTCTAAAAAAATTAGGCATATTTGCGCTCCAATGCAATGAACATATTTGATTTAAGTAAGCTGACCAACCGTCCTCCATTGAAGAGGATTGTCCTCCTCAACCGCGATTTGTCCTCCTCAAAAATATTGTCCTTCTCTGTCCTCCTTTTGATTAAAAATTTCATCTTTGTCCTCCTTTTCAAGTTTTATAGCAGTGATGAAATATAAAAAAAAATTAAATTAAATTAGCTTTAAATAAACTAGATATTATTACATATTTCGTAATCGTACGCAATCGTTGTATTTAAAGGGCGTTTATATTGCTCAACTTTCAGCTAAGTGATGAAAACTTTTGCCTTATAGCTCATTTCCACCAAGTCTTAACTGCAGTTTAAGCCTATTGCAAAAAGGAGATTACAACTCGAAGGGGGTAATTCCTCCTACTAAGTACAAGCAAACGAAAGGACAAAAGCTAACACTAACAGGCCTATTCTGCACGTTAAGGAAGATCTTGTAACTGAAAACTTTTATTACCAAGAAATGTTACTAGTTCTTGTCACCGCCATTCTAGGTACGTCGGTAATGCAGTTAAAATATTCAGCAATTCAGCTATGAAGAATTGTGGAAATTTTTGCATTGCATATTTCATGGTGCAATATTTTGTTACCAGCGTATGACATGGTAACAAATTTTATCGGTTACAAGAGGACACAGAATGCGAAAACGGTTTAAAAATTGACAGGAACTTTATATACCGGTTACAAAATTTTTATTACCAGTGCAAATAGACCTGTAAGAAATAAAAATTGCCGCTCACCCCATGTTGAAATTCTTGGAACTTATCTGAACTCATAACTGCAGTTAAGCCTCTGGTGGAAATAGGCTATTAATCAATAATATTTAATACCGCTTTCCCACGGCACCCCAATTTCGTAGTTTGCTCTCTCATTCATGATCCGCACTCCAATTTCCCTTCGAATTACGTAATTCGCCATACAAAATTTTGAGAGCGAATTACCTCATTTGCTGGCAATTCAGATCCAATTACCATGCGAATTACAAACAAATCGCTGCCGTCTATAATTTTTATCGGAAATTTATCGAAACCAGTTCACAAAGCAAAACTGGCACTTTTTCTGAGTCCGAAAAGTAAAGTTTATAAATGTGTACATCACCAATTTAATACGGAAACTTATAAATTTTTAGCAATAACTTACATTTTGCATAAATTTTATAGCGAAAAAAAAAACACAGAGGTGGTAATTGGAGGAGCGAACAAAGTATTTACGGTGCCGTGGGTTTCCGGGAAATTTTGCCTCTTATTCTTATTACTTTAAACCAGTAGGGTGGTCTAAAATAACTAATCCAACGAATTTATTATCTATTTACTGAGAAGGAAATTTTTATTTCAATTTTAAAATTTCCTATGTAAATAACATGTAAAAAAGATTTGATTAACAATGTTATACATTTTGAACCGTTAAAAAGGTTATAAAAAAGGGATAAAAGTTTTTCAGAGCATTTTCTAGTAGGGGATTAAATTCTCTAAAAAATTACCCTGAAGTTGGTTGTCTTAGGGAAGATGAAGAATATTAGATAAATATGTTAATGATATTGCTGAACGAGGTGTAGCGTTGGTACAAAATTATAATCGAAACTTGACGAAAGACGAAGAACAAAAGCAATTTCTTTTGCAAATAATACAATGACAATTAAATAATTTAAAAACAAGTAAGAAAGTCTAAGTTCGGGCGGAGCCGAACATTAAATACCCGGCGCAAGTATTAAATATATGTTTTTCACCTTTAAGAAAGCTACCGCTACATGGTAAGCCGGGGTGTACCAATTTTGAGTAAATTAGCGTCCTTAAATTTCGAAATATTTAAGTTTCAAGTATTTCTGAAATTTACCGTTATATGAAAAGCGGCCGTAATTTTAGTCCGATTTCAATAATTTTTAACATTTTGCTTTTATGTGGCAAGCACAATGACCATACCGAGTTTGGTTCAAATTGGTATAACGGTTACCGAGATACATATATGTGATCATAAGTGGGCGGTGCCACGCCCATTTTCCAAAATTTTATCACAAACGTATTTCTTGGTTAAGAATTGTTGCAAGCATCAATTTTCAATAAATTAGCTTTAATATTTACTCATTTATCGCAGTTTTCGTATTTTTCTAAATTACCGTTATATGGGATGTGGGCATGGTTATTGACCGATTTTAAAAATTTTCGGCCACTGTGCCAAGTTTGGAAGAAACTGGTGCAGCGGTTACCAAGTTATACACATGTAACCATAAGTGGGCGTGGTTACGCCCATTTTCCAAAAATTTATAATATTCTTATTTTTCGTCTAAAACTTATTGTCAATATCAACTTTGAGTGAATAATCTTCAGTAGTTACTAAAATATCGCAGTTTTCGTATTTCTGAAAATTACCGTTATATGGGAGGTAGGCGTTTTTATTGTCCGATTTTAAAAATTTTCGGCCATTTCGTATACTATAGCAAGGTCAACAACTGCGCCAAGTTTGGAAGAAATTGGTTCAGCGGTTACCAAGATATACACATGTAACCATAAGTGGGCGTGGCTACGCCCATTTTCCAAAAATTTATAATATTCTTTTTTTTATCTAAAACTTATTGTAAATATCAATTTTGAGTGAATAATCTTCAGTAGTTACTAAAGTATTGCAGTTTTCGTATTTCTGAAAATTACCGTTATATGGCAGGTAGGCGTGGTTATTGTCCGATTTCGCCCATTTTCAATACCATCCGTCCTACGTCAGAAAGAAGTGTACGTACCAAGTTTCGTTACGATAGCTCAATTTTTAATCGAGTTATCGTGTGCACAGGCGGACGGACAGACGGACGGACGGACGGACGGACAGACAGTCACCGCTTAATCGATTTCTCTTTTCATTCTGATCATTTATGTATACATTTGTCTATATATATCTCGATTCGTTTTGCCTGTTACAAACAACCGTTATGTGAACAAAGTTATAATACCCTTGTGCACAAGTGCGCTCGGGTATAATAATTAGTCAAAACTTATGTGGCGGTCTTATAATTATTCAACGCTGTGTACTATTAACTTGTTTGACTTGTGTTTAGAGAAACTTTGAATTGTTAATTTATTCATTATTTGTGTGTTAAAATAAATATAAAAACAATTTTTGTGTGGAGAATTTGTCCTCCTCTACTTAATGTTAAAAAATTCTGGTCGCCTTAATTTAAGCTATCTTACAAATGCTTTTATCAAAATGAAAAATCTCCATATACAAGTATTGCCACTGACAAAACTTATACATATCTAGCAAACAAAATGAGATATGGTAGGAAATAATTTTCAAATGTGAAGACGCGTCTTTAGCTAGTCTTTCAGTGTTGTAAAGGATAATACGGCTTTCCTACGGCACTGTGGATTAAATACTTTGTTCGCTCCTCCAATTACGATCGCGAATTACTCTTTTCCCACGGGCGCATTCTTAATTAGATTAGATAGTTCTCTATCTCTGTGTTTTGTTTTTTTCTTTGCTACAAAATTTGTTCAAATAAGTAATTGCTAAAAATTTATAAATTTCCGTATTAAATTGGTGATGTACACATGTATAAACTTTACTTTTCGTACTCAGTGCCAGTTTTGATTTGTAAACTGGTGTCGACAAATTTCCGATTAAAATTAGAGACAGCAGAGATTTGTTCATAATTCGCATGGTATTTAATTGGATCTGAATTACCAACAAATGAAGTAATTCGCTCTCAAAATTTAGTATGGCGAATTACGTAACTCGAGGGGTAATTGGAGTGCGAATTACGAATGAGAGAGCAAACTACGTAATTGGGGTGCCGCTGGAAAGCCGTATTAAATATTATTAATTAAGGCTAAGAGGCGTTTACACTGTTCAACTTTCACGGGCGGTTAGTTGAATCAAAACTTCACATCATTTAACTGAAAGTTGACAATGTACACTCCTTTTTATACCTTTCATGAGCATGAAATGGTATTATAACTTTGGTCCGATGTTTGTAAGTACCAGAACAAAAAGAGATAGACCCATTAAAATGTATACTTATATGATCAGAACGTCGAGCTGAGTTGATTTATCCATGTCCGTCTGTCCGTCTGTCCGTCTGTTTGTATGCAATCTAGTCTCTCAGTTTTCGAGATATCCGGAT